TTCAGTATCTTGTCAGATTTTAAAAACATAAACATTTTTATTGATTTTAGTGAGAGAGGAAAGATCAATGAGAGAGAAACATCAATTGGCTGCCTCCTACATGCCCCCTACTGGGGATTGAGCCCACAGCCTGGGCAAGTGCCCTGACCAGTGACCTCTTGATTCATGGGTCTACACTCAACTGCTGAGCCAAACAGGCGGGGCTATCTTGTCAGATTTTGCTTGTACTTCTTACTAGCATAGTTCAGCAGAGAGATGAAATACTGTTTTGACAAGTCCTAGCCCAGGAGGTACATTTGCCACCAAAGTTGTCACTAATGTCAAAGCCAGTGCTCATGGCGCTGCTCTCTGTCTTTCTAAGAGGGGATGCTACCTGACTGTCATGGGGTGAGGGAGAGGTTGTATATAACTCAGAAGTTGAACAGCCTCTGAGCCCTTTCTGAGATGGTTTGTAAATGTCTGCTTCATACTAGTGTACCGGTTGTTAAGAAAAATCAGCACAACTAAACTTAGAGAAGGATCCATCGCATGGTTTACACAAGCAGTCGCCGTTCTCACTTGTCCTGTTGGAGGCTCTGTGTCATTGGCTCTAGTGTGGACGGACTTGAAGAGGTTGTGTCCCAGCCCTGGAGGAGCTCTCAGTCTGGTGAGGGTTGCTGGACTCGAGTGTATGATGTAGGTCAAGAATGCCAGGCACACCCATGTTCAGATGGAGACAAATACATTCCAGGAGTGAGGCTGCTGGCTGGAAGCTGACTGTATGGAGCTGGCATGAGAGCTTGCTCAGCTGGGGCTTGAGCCACACTTGTCCAGAGGTGTGTAGGTAGTGCATTCCTTAAAACCTGTGCTGAGTGTCCTTTTCAGTCATGTCTTCTTAGAATTACTTCTTTTTTTTTTCTTTTTTTGTAACCCTCACCCGTGGATATTTTTTCCATTGATTTTTAGGGAGAGTAGAAGAGAGAGAAAGGGAAAGACAGAGAGAAACATGGATGTGAGCGAAATACATCAATTGGTTGCCTCCTGCACGAGCCCCAACCAGGACCTGAGCTGGGGAGAAGCCTGCAACCAAGGTACATGCCCTTGACTGAAATTGAACCTGGGACCCTTTGGTCTGCAGGCTGACGCTCTATCCACTGAGCCAAACTGGTTAGGGCTAGAATGACTTCTTGACAAGTGGCCCACTTCCCTGGAGTAGTGTGCTGTGGTCAGGTAACAGGGACCTGAGGTCAGATCTTGATTTATGCCTTGTACTCATTTGTAACTTTTTTAAAAAAATATATTTTTATTGGTTTCAGAGAGGGGGAGAGAGATAGAAACATCAGTGATGAGAGAGAATCATCGATCGGCTGCCTTCTGATCGCCCCACACTGGGGATTGAGCCCGCAACCTGACCGGTAATCAAACCCAAGACCTCCTGGTTCATAGGTCGATGCTCAACCACTGAGCCATGCTGGCTGGGCTCGTTTGTGTCTTCACCTTGAGCCTCAGGGTTCTGATTTCCCAAAAGGGATAATAGAATCTTCATAGAGTTATGAGAATAGCTAAGTGTTTTAGTTGTAATAATAAGTAAGTGTAAGATAGCTAACATCCTGCTGCCCCATGGAAGGGGTAATGTGTTGGTGTGGGCCCCCCCTCCCTTTGCTGAGTATTAATTGAAATAAGAGAATTGTGTTTGGGGCTCTGAAGCCTTATGTTTAGATTTACAGTATTTAATTACATTGAAGTAATGATTTATTGTCATTGCCACTGGTTGCTTTGTGCAGTCTTGGAAAGTGCATTTCTGTCAAAATTAGTTACTTTTCTACTGTCTCATAAGAACAAGTAGGTCTTGCATATTACTAAATCTCCTACCAATTGTGTAACTGGTATTTTGAGAGGGATCCTGTACTTAGATTTAAGGCAGATTTGTGTTATTTTCTCTCAGACACCCGGCTCCATCTGCCAGGTTTCATTTTGCCTGGCCAGGAGGAGCCTAGAAACATTCCTTGCACAACATAAACATTTAATGATTAGTTGTGAAGGGCTAGTGTAAATACTGTATAGGTTCATGCTTTTGTCATTATAAATCGTGGAAAGTGCTATTCCAGAGCAAGCTAAGCCCTCCCAGGATCCTACTCCAAAAATAGGAGCCTCTACACTGCCTATTGCCAGTGTAAGTGTTCACCACCCTGACTGCTTTGTGTAGCTGATATGATTATGAAGGGAATGATTTCTGGCTCTGGCTCTAGTCTGGCCCTGCCCTGTGCAAGGTCTGTAACTTGGGCCTTGTCTTTATCATCTATAAAATGAAGCCAATATGTCTGATTTGCCTATCTCGGATGTTGTGAACTTTCAGTCATATCCTATGAGCTGTAAACATTGCAGGGTGTTGTTATAACCAACCACTTCTTTTTACCCTTTCTCAGTGTCTTGCTGCTGCTTTTCATGTGGCTGCATTTGGTGCATGCTTCTTGCACCAAAGGCATGCACCTTCCCTAGCATCACTCCATTCTTGTTCTTTGTTAGGATTTTGAAGGTGATGACACCCTAAGCCAGGGGTCCTCAAACTACGGCCCGCAGGCCACATGCAAATACAAATACTGTATTTGTTCCCGTTCTGTTTTTTTACTTCAAAATAAGATATGTGCAGTGTGCATAGGAATTTGTTCATAGTTTTTTTTAAAACTATAGTCCGGCCCTCCAATGGTCTGAGGGACAGTGAACTAGCCCCCTGTTTAAAAAGTTTGAGGACCCCTGCCCTAAGCTGATGCCCTCCAGAGGCAATTGTAGTGACGTGCTGTTAGCAAGCCCCTGCCTTTTTGTTTGTTTATTTTAAAATTGAGATATAATAGATCAGGGCATTTCTGAAAGCTTTGTGCTAACACCAAAAAATTTATATCTAATTTAAGACCCCATGAGTTCTGGTCATAGACCGATTTTTTTGTTGTTTTGTTAATCCTCACCCAAGGATATTTTCTTTTCCCATTGATTTTTAAAATAAATATATATATTTGTTGATTTCATAGATGAAGGGAGAGGGAAAGAGAGAAACATCAATGATGAGAGAGAATCATTGATTGGCTTCCTCCTTCATGCCCCCTACTGGGGATCGAGCCTGCAACCCTGGCATGTACCCTGAACCCGGGACCCTTCAGTCCGCAGGCCAATGCTCTATCCATTGAGCCAAACCAGCTAGGGCTCCCATTGATTTTTAAAAAAAACTTTATTGTTGAAAGTATTACATTTGTCGTCCCCCCCAATTGACCTCTTTTAGCCCCCCCCCCCCCGCCCGCCCGGCCTTCACCACCCTATTGTCTGTGTCCTTAGTCTTTTCCCATTGATTTTTTAGAGAGAGTGGAAGGAAGGGGAAGAGACAGAGAGAAAGAAACATCAATGTGAGAGACACATCGATTGGTTGCCTTCCCCCACGTACCCCTACCAGGGCCAGGGATCCAGCCTGTAACTGAGATATGTGCCCTTGACTGGAATCGAATCCGGGACCTTCCAGTTGTAGTCCAATGCTCTATCCACTGAGCCAAACCAGCTAGGGCAAAACTTTATTATTTTAAGAGATATGGTGATACAATTTTGGAAGGGAGTAAAACTACCATTAATTGAGTACTTACAGAGGTGTTATGTTAAGCACCATATCACCTACTTACAGAGGTGTTATGTTAAGCACCATATAACATTTTTTGTAATTTCCATTAGGGCCCTGTGAAGTAGGTTTCTTACATTTTTTTCAGGTAAGATGGTAGACTTTTTGGAGCTTCAGGTTGGTGTGGAGGGTAGGGCTGGTAGGGTTGAGGCCAGCCCTACCTGACCCAGAAGCTTCTGCTCTTTCTAGTCCACTGATTATTATTTGGCAGCTGTTGAAGCAACCATCTGCCAGATCAAATAGTATTTCTATGTATAATATGTAAAATAAATGTTGAAGAGCATGGTTGGAGATTGGGATATTCTGATCCTATTACCTATAGGAATCTTCAGAATAGAGAACAGTAAAATAAGCACTGTAAGCTACAATCAGCATTCACTCCTTAAAGTTGTTTTTATTGATTTTTTAGAGAGAGAGAGAGAAAGAAACATTAATGTGAGAAGGAGACATTGATTGGCTGCCTCCTGCACACCTCCCACCTGGGATTGAGCCCACAACTCGGGCCTGTGCCCTGACCAGTAATCAAACCAGCAGCCTTTTGGTACACAGGACAACACCCAACCAACAACCACACAATGGCCAGGGCAGCATTCACTTTAAAAGAAAACAACAACTTCAGAACTTATATAGTTTCCATGTACCTGGCCCTGATAGATGTTAATTCTTGTATGTATGTATGTATGTATTTAAGTATATTTTTATTGATTTCAGAGAGGAAGGGAGATGGGAAGGGAGATAGAAACATCAATGATGAGAGAGAATCATTGATTGGCTACTTCCTGCATGCCCCCTACTGGGGATGAAGCCCACAACCCAGACATGTGCCCTTGGCCATAATCAATCCTGGGACCCTTTAGTCCATAGGCCAACATTCTATCCACTGAGCAAAACCAGCTGGGGCGATGTTAGCTCTTTTAGAAGCTTATTTCTAACTGGAAATGGCACTAAATCAGGGCCTCAGTGTCTTCCTTGCTAGAAGACTCCAGTTGGATGAGTGTGGTGGTTCTTAAGCAGGGTGCATATCATTGTCACCTGAGGATCCCCATGCACAAGTGCTCAGCTGAACTCAGGAGGTTCTGATTCTGCAGATCTATAGGGGGCCTGGGCACGAGTCCATCTTTCTTTTCCCTCCTTCTCTACCCCCTCTGCCCCTGACCCACCCCCACCTCTCCATGGGTGTTGAATAACTTCCCAAGGGGCTTGGGCACATACCCTGGAGAAGTCCCCAAAGTTAATACTCACTCTAGCCAAACTCTAAAACTTCCCTAAAACTTTCCCCTGTGATTTCTAATGTTTTTGAGTACATTTCCCACACACAAATGCCTGTTCTCTTCTCTCTAGAAGTTCGGCTTCTCCCATCATTCAAGGCCCATCTCAGAGCTTCTCTTCTATGAAGCTGTTACCCTCTGCTGTTGCCTGCTGGGCCACCCATGCTCTTACCTGCAGGCTTCTACAGAGCAGCACTTCTCTCTCTCAATCCAGCCTCAACAGCCAAGAAGATGGCATTCAGCTTTACTTCCTATAGTTCTTTTGGGGCACAGAGCACCTTTTCCTACTTTGCAAATGAAAATTACAGGATGATAAGGAATATGCTTTTGAAAACTACAATCACCCCCTACCTTGAGACCTGCTGGTCCAGAGTAGTGATAAGACATCTGAAGCAGCCCTGACTTGCACAGCTGATTTTTCCTCTGTCTGGATTTCTTAAAGAGGACCGCGGCCACAAGCTATAAATACTTTGCCCAAACTTCGTTGCACACATTTGAGTTGTGTGACAGAGTGCTTACTGTGTACAACTGTATCCTGTCTCTCACTGTTTGAGCTGAGCCTTTTGTGCAGGACTTGGAGCAGTGCACTCCTGCTGGGGCCAAGGCCACCTCCCTGTTGGTGCCTGCAGAGCTGTTAGGCAGTGGCTCTTCTCTGCTGCATGCCACACTTTGACCTGGAGTGAGCATCAAGCTCTCTGAGCTGCAGTTTGAGGGGAATGAGCTTTTCCCCCTTTGAAGAGCTGATAAGCACACCCAGGCTCTTTTTCACGTCCTGCAATACACTGAGATCCACATCTGGGCTCAGAGATGGACCTCATTGTGAGAAGCATTGCTCTTTCTCCCTCATCACTTACCCTGGCTGGGCAGCCTGCTTACCCCCACGGGGAGAAGGAACGTGTGAGTTGCCTGGTTCTGCTTTCCTTTGAGCTTTTGGTTTGTCAGCCCCGAGCAGCTGACAGGGGACTGCCTCTTGCTCTGAGCAGAACTGAAACAAACCTTTGTGGGGCATATTTTGTAAAGTTTCTGTCATTCTTGGCTATAGCTTTCCTGACTGTTCTTCTAGAGTGGGCCCTCTCTCTCACTTTTTCTTCGTTGGGTCCTTTCATCCATCATTTGAAATTTGAACTCTGAGTTTGCATTGGTTTCATTATATTCCTTCCCCAGTTCTTCATTCTCAGTACAGGGGTGCAGTTTTGCTTGAGGGTTTGTCAGTACTCTTGAGTCATCTTGCCTTTTCGAGTTTCATACCTTCAGATGAATCTATCTTTCTCTGAATGACTTGAATCCATCTTCTCTAAGTTGTTCTCCTCAGTGAAGGTGTGATTGGCATTTTGGGTTGAATAGTTCTTGTCTGCACGATCATCTTGTGCAATGCAGGACTTTTAGCAACCTGGCCCCTGGTAGTGCCAATGGTTCTCAGCAGCTGGACTCTTCAGGACATTGGGAAATCAGGGTGAGGTGGTATCACAATGTCTGGCATCTAATGGGCGGGGCTGGGATGCTCAAGTGCTGAGTCCTGCTGGATGCTGGCACCACCCTGTTGAGAAACACTGTCCTAGGGGGCTGCCCAGTGTCCCCTGGAGATTAGGGACGGACTTGCTTGTTTGTTTGTCTTGGTTTCTTTCACTTCTGTCTTATAATTAGTACTTCCTTGTTGGTTAGAATTATGCAAAGGTTGTTGCCTCTTCCATCTTTGGTGAGGTTAACTTGAGAGCAGGTAAGTTGAATGTTTTTCTGGTAGTTGCACTTTGGATTCCCTGAGCCTCCCAGCCCTGCCACCATTAGTGCTGCCTTTTCGTTGGCCAGGAGGTGTGTGGCCTCCACCTCCCACAGTATGACTTTAGTCTTTGTTCATGTATCTCTTGCTATCAAAGCACCAGTGGGTGCTTTTCCTCACCCCTATGCACAGTGCTCACTTGTTCCTCCCTTTTTCTTGAACAAGATGCAATTTTTCTTTTGTTTTTTTCTTTTTTTTATATAAGATTCAGTTTTTCACTGCTATATTGCAGTTGACCCTCATCTTGGCATATGTTTATAATTCTTTTGAAATCTACATTCTTGTATTTATCATCCATACTTCATGTTGTTAGTATATGGATTTCTGAAGCCATAAAATATAGTTTTATATTTTAAAATGTATTTTGTCCCATGGATATTGAATATATCCTCCTGTTGTTTCTTCGTTTTTGGTTGTCTAATTTCGAAGTTCTATCTGGAATTTTTTCCTGTCTACGTTTTTGATAGTTGTTAGGACTTGGCTCTTAAGGACATGATATCTTTTGTCTCTAGCCATGCATCTTAACTCTAATATCTTGAGCCAAGTACCAGAAAATCAAAATAAAGATCCCTTCCCATTCCAGAGCACCCTTTCCTTCCCCAAGCCCCAGCTTCCCATCTATTCACTATCCTGAAGTGTTGGGGCTTCTGAGGTTTCCTGATTCCTGTCCTCACACCTGCCTTCACGGAGCTTATGTTCTGTTTGGAGAGGAGTGGGCCAAGGTGGTCGTATGGGTGTGCAATCTTTTCCCCTTCCTTAATCTGCCCAGACTGCATAATTCCCAGGTGAGCATTTCTGATGAGTCCCAGGCATTAGTAGGAGGACTAGTTAGCAGGTTGAGTGGTCTGTCAGGTTCCATGCTTTCCCTCCTGCAGGCTCAGGAAAAGAGTCCAGGCTACCCCTTCCCCCACTGCAGGGGTCACAGCCATTGCCTCTAGCATCTTCCCTCACTGAAGCTGCACATTGCTTAGACATGGAATTCAGTCTCTCAGTGGCAGTGGCTCTCGTCCACTGTAGCTTGTTTAAAATCCGTTTCAAACTTCACCACCCTACACTTGCTGGACCAGAATTTTCCAGGCTGGGGCCCAGACCTAGACAGTTGTAGTGGGTAGCTAAGGTTGAACAAGCAGCAGGACCCTGTGGGAAGAAATTTGGGCTTGTCATCTGCCCTGAGGTGTCACTGTGGCCCCTGTCTCTTGCATGTTCATTCGACATGCTGTCTTTCTCAGCCCACTCCATGCCAGGCATCGCACATCCTCCAACCTAGAGCCTGTAGCACTGGCTCAGTTGCCCTTCTTTGGGAATTGTGTCCTTCGGGTGCCTTGTAACTGTCAGCTGTGTGATCGGAATAGGGGGTGTAGATATCTTTTGGATTTGATGTGGGGACTCATTCAGAGCCTCCATGCCATTGTGAGCCAGAGCACCAAAACAAGGAGGGTCCTTCCAGGTCTGGTGGGGTTCACGGGTTGGACCACCAAGGAGGAAGCCAGACCAGTGAGTAGACTGTCCTTCCAGTGCAGCAGAGGAGGCGGGGCTCAGCTGGGTGGTGCTCCGGGGTTGCAGAAGGGAAGGCACTCAAAAGATGTAGAGGAGGCTGTTGTGCCATGGATGAGTGGCCAGATTGGGGAATTGGGGGGCAGCACATCACTCCAGGTATCTGAGAATGGAGGACGCTGGGCTATAACACCTATTGGATGTTCACTTGAGTTATTGGGAAAACAGCGGGAAATGTCTGGTTGGTGCACAGTTGATAGACAATTCTAGACCAAACACATGTCAGGCAGGGCCTTGAAGTAGTCAGGGTGGTCATTCTTTCCGGATGAGATGGTGTTGGCTGCGTTGACTGTATAATAATAATCCCTGGTATTTGCAAGGGGATCTGTTGCTTACAACGTGGTTTCCCCTTCATTGTCTACAGCTCTGGGTCTTGCTATCCCTGTTTTGCAGCTGAGGAAACCGAGGCTCAGTGAAGGTTTTCTGTCCCCCTCCCATCCCAGACTGGATAGTTGTTCTCTTCGCTGTGTGCCCATGCTGAGGCGGAGCCCTGAAATCGCACTTACAGCGTTGGGTAGAACACTTTGTGGGTATGTGTGTTCTCCTGGTCCCACTTTATTCATCTTTATATCCTCGCCGTCTGACACACAGTCAGTGCTTAATAAATCTCGGTTAGAAATCAGGTCTGTAGTACCTTTCTTGTGCCCCTGTTGTGTGGTGACAGCCCAGAGAGGAGGCAGTGCTTTCGTAGGAGCACAGTCACTTACCCTGTTGAGTACTGTGGGTTTACCAAGGTGGGACTTGTCTTGGTCTGGGGCGTGGGTTGAGGGGACCACCATGGCTCTGGGCCTCTTAACCAGACCAGGCATGATCTAGTCCACAGTGAAATGTTATCATTGGTGGTGTTGGCACTCAGTGTTTAATTTGAGGGAGTCAGGAGGGATCTAATATGTGGTGCTTTCCTCTGTTTGACACCCATTTATGCTTTGTCAATCAACAGGAGCTTGAAGAAATCCGCAAATGTGGAATGAAAAACTTCCGTAACATCCAGGTTGATGAAGCTAATTTATTGACTTGGCAAGGGCTTATTGTTCCTGTGAGTATTGAACACTTCACTTCTTATCAGATTCTTCTCCAGGTGATGTGTGTGCTGTTGGGCTTGTCTCTCTAACTCCTAAGGAAACTTAGTATAGGCAACCAACAGATACACAGCGGCGGGTAATAAGGTAGGGACTATAGCCTTGGGTTCCTCAGTAGAATCCCAACTTTGCGCTGGTTTTGTAACATTCTGGGTGTCCCGAGCTTTCCAGGTCTGTTGTTACCAACCCGGGAAAGAAGTGGAGTGTGCGTGTCTGTGCTCCTATCTTCCCTGGCTTCTCTGGGCCTGACCTCATGTGGCTAGACAGCCACCTTCTCTGACCTCTTTTGGGAGATGGCGGGTGTTCCCATCTGGATCTTCTCTGTGCTTTCCTGCCTGGGCCCTAACCCTCATCCGTGTCTCTAACCCTCTGTACACTTGTGTTCCAGGCTTTATTCCTGGTACCCTCCAGTGTGTGCCTCCCATTTGTCTCAAATCCCTTTGCTTCGAGGCCCACCTGTTCCCCTCACCAGTATCTTTTGGGACAACTAGAAGTGAGGGCCCTGGATTGGTGTGAGGAGAGTTTCAAGGACGCAGTTGGCAACTCATTCTCCCAGGGTCTGCCCCCATTGATTCCAGCTCCCTGTTTCACTGACTTCTGCCTCCAGACAGGCTCCGACCTCCTAAGAGCAGCTTTCCTGTGACCTTACTACCTTCTTGGTTTAGTGTCTGCTCTTTCTCCATCCTTTCAGCTCCTTACCCCTCAAAGAGACTTGTTCTGTACTAATTCCAGTCTGTGATCCCAGTTTCTTCCACCCTCCTGAAGCTGCTTCACACCAAGCACACAGGCTCCCCTCAGTCCTCACACCTCTGGCTCTGCAGCCCAGGAGCCGTGTACCCTACTTGCCTCCCGAGTGTGCTATTTGCTTCTGTCCTGCTGCTTCCTCTTAACTCTTAGACATAAATCTAATTTAGTCTCTCGCCTTTCTCTCATTCTGTTTTGTTTCTGGGGATCCCTGTTTCTTCCAGCATCGTTGGTTACTAGGTTATTACTGTAAGTGAAGGAGCCCATCTCTGCCTCCATTCCTGCCTTCTCCCCAGAGCCTCACCCTCTGTCCAGGAAGCAGCCTAACTTGACGTTGTCAACCTTCTAGTCTTCCTGTTCACAACTGAGACCTTTCAGTGTGCTCCCTTTCCTTCCTGTTCTTCTGCATCCACCCACCTTCTCTTTTCTTCTCCACATTCACCATTTAAGCCTCAGGCCCTTTCCTTGTGCCTAGCTCTACCCTACATTGTTGTATAAAATCTTTCTTTATGGGCAGGTTGGCTACTTTGTTAAAGCGGAACATAAAGCATGCTTACAATAGATGCTTTCTTCTTGATGCTGGTGCAGATCATGACTTCTTTTAACCCTGGAACTTGAATGGCAAATATTGGATTTGTAATTTATTTTCATAATCATTTGGATAAATAGGGAAATATATACTTTGTAGTCTTCTAGTACACATTCAGAAATTTTAAATCTGGGAGGTTGCACTCTGGTTGGAAAGATGGGGTCTTTTAAATTTCTCCAGGGTTGGAGGTGATGGTGCTCAGGGTGCAGGTTATGGTGCTGATGGTACAGGGTACAGGTACAGTGGAGAAGCTCCTGACTGGGGAGGGCCAGCTGGTAACCCCAGCCCTTCCCTGCCATGGGGACCTGGTATGTGCTGAGTGGAAGGATAGCCAGGACCATCTGACCACCTACTAATTTAAGGAGTAAACAGGTAGTCTGCATCATTTGAAAACTGATCAGAATGAATGGGATGCCATTGAGCAGTCAGGCTTAGACCGTCTACCCTGTGAGCTCCGTGGCCTGAAAGACTGAAGGCTAGCTCCAAGAGTAGATGGTTGTCAGGCCGACTCTGACCCCAGTGTACACCAAAGTCTTCCTCTGGTGTCAGGTTAGCAGAGCCTGTGGAATGGGCTATAGTCTCATTAAGCCCAAGGTGGTGACTGGCTGGTAGAATCCAGTGTGCTTGAGCCAAGGCTCTGGCGAGTGTCCAGGCCAAGCCTCACTTTCCATTTAGGGAAGCTGTGCCCAGAGATAGTAGACCATGACCAGGGCTGCCCTCACCCCTGCTCATGCTGCCTCTTCCCATTCCTCTCTCACGTCTTCCTGTAATCATTGCCCAGGGCCCCTGGATTGGTGTGAGGAGAGTTTCAAGGACGCAATTTGCAACTCATTACTCCAGGGTCCCCATTAGTACTTCATACCTGGGCCTCAGATCTTCCTATGGTGAGGTAGGAGCTGGGTCAGTATGGGGACTCTTCTACTAAACTCACCTGGAGTCTACCCAGCTGGAATGAAAGCAGGGCCAGGCTGATAAAGGCATGGTACCCTAGAAATGTTCTGGGCATGTGCCCTTGACTGGAATCAAACCCGGGACCCTTCAGTCTGCAGATTGATGCTTTATCCACTGAGCCAAACAAGCTAGGGCCTTCCAGCTTTTTTATGTGTATTCTTTAATGGGCCATTAGATAACTTCATAATTATTTCATACTTTTAAAATAACTATCATATCCCATAATATTTATATGATCATTTATTTAATCATTCTTTTCATATTGGCCATTTAGATTATGAATGTTTTTCCATTTTAAAACTAATGTGGGAAACTCAGTGTATCTTTTTTCTTTTAGACTCTGATCTTAAGAATTATATAATATCCTATATTATATATTTCATTAGGGTCAGGTTTATATATAAGGAAGGGGTCATCTGTCGGGCTGTACAGACAGTCCCTGATTTAAGATTACCACTGAGCCACCCCAGTCGGGATAAGTTTACAATTTTTTCAACTTTACAATGGTGCAAAAGTAACATGCATGCAGTAGAAATGTAGGCAAAGGTGGGATGTTCTATAGGTTAAACACATTTTCAATTTACAATATTTTCAAATTGTAATGGTTTATTACTAGTAAAAGGTAACACATGCCCTGGCCGGTTTGGCTCAGTGGATAGAGCGTTGGCCTGCGGACTGAAAGGTCCTGGGTTCGGTTCCAGTCAAGGGCACATGCTCAGGTTGCAGGTTCGATCCCCAGTAGGGGGCGTGCAAGAGGCAGCCGATCAATGATTCTCTCTCATCATTGGTGTTTCTCTACCTCTTCATTCCTCTCTCAAATAAAAAATAAAAATATATTTTTTTAAAAAAGGTAACACATTATATATAGCCCAGTCGGTTTGGAAAAAAGAAGATAACCCACTATAAGTTGAGGAGCATTTGTATATATTATCAACTTATTTTCCAGAAAGACTGTGCCAATTTATGTTCCTATGGGCACTGTCTGTACAAGTTCCTATATGTATCCTTGGCTGTCATGGAAGTTGCTAGGCATTTTTTAAAAAATATGTTTTTATTGCCCTAGCCAGTTTGGCTCAGTGGATAGAGTATCGGCCTGAAGGGATCCTGGGTTCGATCCCAGTAAAGGGCACATGCCCAGGTTTCGGGCTTTATCCCCAGTGAGGGGCGTGCAGGAGGTTGCCGAACAAGGATTCTCTCTCATCATTGATGTTTTTCTCTCCCTTCCTCTCTGAAATCAGTAAAAATATATTAAAAAATATATGTGTGTGTGTGTGTGTGTGTGCGCGCGCGCGAGTTATTTCAAAGAGAAGGTGGAGAGGGAGAGAGAGGGAGGGGGAGGGGGGGAGAGAGAGAGAGAGAGAGAGAGAGAGAGAGAGAGAGAGAGAGAGGGAGGGAGGGAGAGAGGGAGAGAGGGAGAGAAACATTGATGAGAGAGAAGCCTGCAGCCTAGGCATATGCCTTGACCAGGAATTGAACCGGTGACCACCTGGTTCATGGGTCGATGCTTAACCACTGAACTATACTGGCTGGGCAAAATTTTTTAAGGGATATTTTTTAAGGGGGTTCTGAGTGGCACTGACTTCACCTTCTAGGCTGTGGGGTCCAGTTTACCTAGGTGAGAATCCAGCCCTGCCCCTGTTGATCTTGGACCAGTTAAGCAGTTTGTCCTAATATCCTTACCTCTAGTTGTTTTAAAAGTTCAATAAAGCCCTGACCGGTTTGGCTCAGGTCGGCCTGCAGAAAGGTCCCAGGTTCGATTCCGGTCAAGGGCATGTACCTTGGCTTCGGCCACATCCCCAGTAGGAGGTGTGCAGGAAGCAACTGATTGATCTTTCTCTCTATCCCTCTCTCTTCCTCTCTGTAAAAAAATCAGTAAAATATATTTTAAGCCCTAACCGGTTTGGCTCAGTGGATAGAGCATCGGCCTGCAGACTCAAGGGTCCCAGGTTCGATCCCGGTCAAGGGCATGTACCTTGGTTGCAGGCACATACTCAGTAGGGAGTTTGCAGGAGGCAGCTGATTGATATTTCTCTCTCATTGATGTTTCTAACTCTCTATCCCTCTCCTTTCCTCTCTGTAAAAAAATCAATAAAAAATATATTTAAAATATATTTTTTAAAAATAATAAAACAAAAAAATAAAAGTTCGCCCTAACTGGCTTGGCTCAGTGGATAGAGTGTCAGCCTGCGGACTGAAGGGTCCCAGGTTCGATTCCGGTCAAGGGCATGTACCTTGGTTGCGGGCACATCCCCAGTGGGGAGTGTTCAGGAGGCAGCTTAATCAATGTTTCTAACTCTCTATTTCTCTCCCTTCCTCTCTACAAAAAAATAATAATAATAAAAGTTCAATAAGTGCATGTGTGAAGTGCCTAGTCTCACTCTTATTAAAACCTGTCCTGTTCTCTGGAAAACTGTCAATATGTAACAAAGAGCCTATGAAACAGACATACAGAAAGAAATTGTTGCCATTTTGATGCAAAAGTTCTCCATTTGATTTGTGTCTTAGTCTCATTCAGGCTGCTATATTACAAAATACTAGACTGGTTACCAAACAACAGACATGTATTTCTCACATTTCTGGAGCCCGGAAGTCTGAGTCAGGGCACAGTCATATGAGGGCCCTCTTTTGGTCACAGACTTCTTCTATCCTAGCTCTCTCTGGCACTAATCCCAT